CTCTCTCTCTCTCTCTCTCTCTCTCTCTCTCTCTCTCTCTCTTGCTGCATTGGCATTGCGTACACGGGCGTCGCATCCATAGCGGCGCTGGCGCCGGCCACCCGCCGTCCCGTCGCTGCAATGTGCATGCCATCGGGGCGGGGCCCATCTGTTAGGGCGCGGCGTGAGCGGCTGAGCCTCGTGGCTGAGCGGCCCTCACGCCTCACGAGGCACGCATGGGCCGTGCGGGTCTGACCGCGCAGCAGTTGTGCAGGGGAGAGAAGAGGGAGAGAGAAGGATGGCGAGGTTGGGGGGGAGGGGCAGAGAAAAAGGTTACCCTTCTCATACGTAAGGGACCTTAACCAACCATGAACCACCAACCCTGACCTGGCCATCCGCCCGCGCCGCGCCCTGCTCCGAGCCACAGCCCCTGTCAATCGAGAGATAGGCAACCACGCAAACAGCCGTGTCCTACGTTGCCCAAACATAGCCTATCCACAAGGCGCTTACTCACCATGAGAACTTCAAGACGGAAACAGTGCGCCTGTAAGAAAATTCCGCGCGAATAAGACTTATATGTCAAAAAAAAATTCTCAGTTTGTTTTCGGTCGTTTACTTGGATATTTGAAATAAAAATTATGATCTCCGTTTCCATCTTTCCGGGCAAGACGGTGATCTCCTGGACGAGCCCCTGTCCCTCTTTGCCGCCTCCCCCTCCTCCTCTTCTCTCCCTCTCTCCTATCTCTCTCTTTTCTCTCTCTCTCTCTCTCTCTTCTCTCTCTCTTTCTCTCTCTCTCTCTCTCTCTCTCTCTCTCTCTCTCTCTCTCTCTCTGTCACGATGGCCCAACAGCGCTCCTTGATGACGGCCTCGAAGGGCCTAGGCGTGGTGGGGCACCCGGCTGACGCCGTGGTGCGGTCCGTACGTTACAATATCCTGGCGACAGGTGGAGTGGGGTCCGGAAGGAGCCGCGACCTGTCAGCCCCGATGGGCTGCGGACGAGAACACCCGCCGTCGCCCGGTCCAGGCGACTACTTGTGGTCGGCCCTTGGCCGCCGGTGTCACAACAGAGCGGGTGATGTGGGTATGCTTGCAACTCGCTGACGGCTCCATATTTGAAGAAAAATATTATTTTTTTCAAACTGCGAACGGTTTGCAACACAAATACCAAATTGGCCTCGTGGAATTAGCCCACCACAGTTTGCGGAAATTCAGTAATGAAGGTTGGTTTGTTGAGTGGTTTAATGCCATAAGAAACAGTCGTAATCGTTATAGAAATCAAGCCGTTATGATTTTCCGCAAGACTTGAAATTGGCTATTTCCAAAAAGGGAAAAGAAGGAGCACACAGAAAAGTGGGCCAGGGGCAGCTCGGTGACCAAATCGCAATCACACTAACCTCTCTGCGTAGCCTGCTTTCCTTGTGTAGCCCTCTTTCCCTCGAATCCAATTGGATCATTCTGCTTCTAGAATTCCCCATTTTCTCTCTCTCTCTCTTTCCCTCCCTCTCTCTCTCTCTCTCTCTCTCTCTCTCTCTCTCTCTTTTTCTCCCCTGTCCTCTCGCTCCCCTCTGCTCTCACAGTGTGTGTGTCTCCTGAGGCCTGGGATTCCTCTGCACTCCACACAGCGCCCTGCTCCAATGACACCAGCATCCCCCGCGCTCCTTAAAGGTGGCCACTTAGCCACTTGCCTTAGGGGGAGAGAGAAAGAGAGACGGAGAAAAAGAGAGAGTGAGGGGAGCGAGGGGGGAAAAGAAGAGAGGAACGACCGGGTGGAGGGTTTCAGAGGGGTGCAGCGCACGACTTTGAAAGCGAGAAACCCGGTGACAGCAGCGCCCAGAGAGAGGAGGAAAAAGAAACAAAGCGAAGGAGGGAAGGTGGGAGGGTGGGAGGAATGGAGGTTGGAGAGGGGTGAGGGAAGGAAGCAGCGCCGACCACACGAGCTGCCGAGAGTGTTTCCCCGGGTGCGGCTGACACGTTGCACCCAGCCTCTTCGCTCCGTGCCTTCTTCACCTTGCCCCTTTTCCCCCTTCCTCCACCTCTGCCGCTGTCGCTCTGTGATCCGCAGACATTCGGCCTCTGGCTTGGTATTTTTGCTCCTAGGCAGGCGCGGCGTTGTCGTTGCGGTGGCGTCCTGGCCGGGGCCGTCTGTGGCCGTGTAGCCTGCCTATTTGCTGCTGAGCAGGTGTGCCAGTCGGTGATGAAAAAAACAATGACGCTGACGCATTTAACGTTCCAAAAGTGCGAGGCAGTTCTGACAGTTTTATTACTCTAGCTTGCACATTTTTTCTAATATTTTCGTTAGGTTTCTATATCGGGACCTGAGAAAAGACGATGAAAAGGGTGGGGACAGTCGCACTCCAGTAAATCACCCTGATGTTACAATTAATGAATGGTAATTAATTGAGCAAACGTCGCCCATATCCACCCCATTCCCTTTCCTCTCCTCACTCTGTGTTGTGTTTTCTTTTAACAGAGTGCGTAGCTTGCAGTTTGCCTTCAACCCACCTCTCCCCGCCACACGCACATACGTGCCGCACACCTCAAAGTGAGTCTACCGTAGTATGCACGCCGGGCTGAAGCACAGTTTTCCTCTCAGCGAAAGAGAGCTGATGCGACGAGGCCAGGCGAGAGGGGGAGGGGGAGGGGGGGTTAGTGAGGGTGTGTGGAGGGTGAGCGGTATGACGCGCCACAAACCAGAGGTCTGCAGCGGTCGGTCCGCAGTCCCGGTAAGAACCAAGACGCGACGATACCCCTTCTCCCTCTAGCGACACACGCACGGACAGTTAGCGCGTTCTGGGTGAGCTTGACTGCCGGGTCCCGAGAGTGCAGACTACGTTTCGCTAATCCAGCCCGCTGATTGGCTGATCATAGCTCCCC